TCATACAGTGATTACTGGACCTTTAAAGAGTATTCTTAGGAAGTTTCAGCTGAATCCAAGTTTGAGCGATTTTCGTCGTAGTAGCACTTTAAACAGAAGAGAGGTCACATTGGTTTTGAAGTTAACAATTGTTAGAATTGGCTGAACTATAGTTAAACGCCCCAGTGTGGCCACAGCCACTGTCTTTTTAATTAACCTGAGCGTAGAACAAATTCACATATAGAAAACATTTCATTCGGTAAATAGTGAGGCTTTCGCACATTTGATAGTCAATAAGCAGCATTATGATAGTTTTAGAAAAAAAATCCTCCTAATATTTTTTTTACAATTAATTGTCAACCTATTTACAACTACGAGAAACTTTTAGACGTTCATTTGCTGAAATCAGCGGTACATCGATTGCTTGAGAGTTGATTTAGTTGATAAAGCAACTGCTTGATTGACAATGTTACCGGCAAAGTCTTTGTCAAAAGCACGATTTTAGCGTCGTGTTCACAATTAAAAATATAATCACGCTATAGAAAGATCGGACAATTAAATGCTAAAATCGAATGCAATAACTACGATTAATATTCATTCTTACAAGAGGCTTCACCTCTTTGAGTGTTTTTTGTGTCTTCCAATTGTGTGAAGTCAAAACGCGCCGTGAGGGATTTAAAAAACCCGAAGCCATGGTATGTTCGTTTATATTCAAGAAGCTGAGTTGCTGCATTGTTGCATTGGTAATCTGTAACTCACTATTCGTTTTCCGAATGGGAAATTCCTGTAAAATTTGCTCCTGGTCTGAATGGTCTCGCTGCTCCGACCAATGTGGCAATGCAGGAGTTCGATACCGCTATAAAAACAAGGTTGTGTGGTCGGGCATAGTGCTTGACTGTTCTTGCAGTATATCTGAGCAAAGTCCTTGTAACAGAGATGCTTGAAACAATGGAGGTACACCTGTTATAGGATATTGTCTGTGTCCATCTGGGTACACTGGGACATGCTGTGGTCAAAGTAAGTTGAACACTATCAAGAATATATAGATATTAAATAATAAATAAGCTAGCATTATCTTATTTCAAGGCGGTCTATAGGGTAACATTTATCGGGCGACTTTTGCTGATAAAGCCTTAATACCAGAACTTAGTCAACTTAATTAATGCTTTGCACTTTAGTTCAAACATGATATTTTTATATGAATGAAACAGGTTTTTTTTCTCACGACAAAAGCATAAAAACATCTAGATATCGTGCTTCTGTTTCCGTTGACTTAAAACTCCATGCAAGTTTATAGAAAGTGAAGATGAAGATATTGAATCACGCGCAAGGAAAATATTTGACGACATTGATTTTGATTAATTGTTGTCTAATTTATTCAGATTTGAATGTTAATGTTTCATCTGTTCCTATGACGACAGCGACATCGATAGCAACATTAACAACTGTAATATCTGGCTTGCCATTGGCATCATTATCAAAAGAAGTAACAGCTGCAGAAAACCCAACAACGACAACTGTAGTAGCTATAACAACGTCGTTATCTTCGTTGTCAACTAAACCATTAATAGGAAGAACAACGTTAACAACAACAACAGCTGAAGGAATTACAGTCATTAGAGCAACTACGATAGCATCAACGACTACCATGACAGCAGTACCATCATTGCTGCTATCATCAACTCGAGCGACAACAATAGCAGCGGGAGATTCTGTGGTAGCTACGTTGTCATCGTTGTCAACCGCTATAACAGTGTCACAAACGTTAGCAGCAGCGGCACCAACTACGACAGCAGGAACAAACATAACACCTGCTACAATATCAGAATCATCATCATCATCATCCTCTTCAAATAAAACAGCAAAAGCTACAGCAAGGACAAGAATAACAACAATCGTAACATCATCAACAGGATCATTATTATCGTCGTTGTCAACTACTAAAGCAACAATAGCAGCAGAAGAAGCAACATCAGCACAAACAACAACAGGTGAAAACAATACAATTGAAATGTTTCACTGAACAACCTTGGAAATTATTAATTTAATGGCGGGTATTAGGGTTAAACTCTATTGCCTTCAAAACAATTGTTTCAAGTCGAGGCATAGGGTCAACGCGATAAACGTATGGAAACTGGCCCAATGCAACAATCGTTTGAAGACAATAGAGTGTAACTCTAATATATGTTAATAGAGCACTTGGCTCTTCCAACAACAACTTCGTTTTGACGCCTTGCTAAATGTCCAACGAAAGTTGGACGGAAAACGCCTGACGTCGAATTGTAGTTTGAAGTTTGTAGTACCTTAGAAGAACGTGTTGCAACTTATTCAGTCATTATGGTCTCATTCAGGTTTAGCAATTGCTTCAAGAGTTGGAATAGCAGTTGGAACTTCAGCTGTGCTAGCTGCATGTGCAGCCTGTGTAGTCTTGTATTTCAGACGTGCAAACAAATCACCAATAGTATCAAATTCGAATAGTGAAAGTAAATCCGTAAAGAGGTAAGTTATTCAATCATCAACGATTAAAATTACATCTAATACAAACTTAACCAAGAGACCGTGGTCTCTTGACTTAACTCACTAACAAATATAAGAAAAGGCAAATTCTAATATATAGTGCTGCAAAAACAGTGGTCTTGGTAGGGAAACGAGGGAGGGGTTGAGTGGTTGTCTGGTCCATTTTATGTATGTATGTTTGACAAGGAAATCACAAATATGTTTGAGAAATTTTAGACTGTGTTATTAGGATAAAGAACCGTTRTAAAGGCTCATACTTTCATTACGTGGCAGCGTTCTTTAGGAAGCCGCCTTATAACTTAAAGACGCAAGAAATATCTTACTCAGTATTCAACTATTTACATGTAGAATCAATACTGAAAATATTCAGTTAGTAATTACCTACACTTTAATGGAGATCTTCTGGATTTGGCCGGAACTTTGTTTTCGCGCAATAATGTGCCCGCTTGCCCAGAACTCTCACGAGCTCTATCTTGGATTTTCACTGATATATCGAAATATTTGAACAAAATTATTGTTCTTGCATGGTTTTTGAATTTGATTGACTGGTTAACATTGAAAATTTAAGTCTATTTTAATTTTAAATCGCCGTAAAGAGACAATCTAGGTCTGGTATTGGATATGGAGAACATGAATAACCAATGGGACGTTTATCCTGATCACGTAACTATATTAGAAATACTGGGCCAAGGAGCTTTTGGCAAAGTGCATAAGGCAACATTAAAGGCAACGCCACATCAAGAAGAAGTTAGAATCCTGGCAAAGCTAAAAGGAACGAGTTTGAACGCCAAGAAAACTACTGAAATAATTGCAGCAGTAAAGACGTTAAAGGGTAAAGGTTTGCATCTTATCAATTAAGGAAGGGCTAGTGGAAACAGGGGAGAGTTGGTAATATGATTTTCAAACACACGCGAAATTGTGCAATTTATTTGTTTGTCGTCGCGACAAAATAAAGTTTTGTTGTCAAAGTGTTCAATGACATTGTCGGAAAACACGAAGTTTTCATCAAGGGCAAATGCATGCCTATGTATCCTCCCCCATCAGGTTAGTGCATATTCATTCTCCAGAAAGCAATTGGGATTCCTGTGTTGAAAAATATGGCACAGAAGAATAGTTTTTCTCCTTTCCATAGAAAACGCGAGGAGCCCAAAGGAGATGCTCGCGGAGGCGGAGACTTTTGCCTATGCAATATTTGACTGAATACCACGAAAACCGCATTTTGACAAATTGAACAATTTCGCTCATGTGCAGATTGGGAAACGCTGTTAGTTTGGCGAAATTAAAAAATTGATTGAAAATGTTGTCATTCAAAGTTTCTCTTTACTATTTAAAATTTAGAGGAAGCAGAATCAAGTGAAAAGCAAGAATTCCTAAAGGAAATCAATCTAATGAAGAAACTAGGTTGCCATCAAAATATCGTCAACTTCCTGGGCTGTTGTACTACGAGTGAGCCAAACTTTCTCGTAGTTGAGTTCTTACCAAAGGGAGATTTACTGAAATACTTGAGAACGAACAGACATAAGGTAAAACAAAGCATAGCCTTGAAAGCTTATTTACGTAATTCATATTTGAAAATGGAGCTTGATGCAATGTTTTGCAGATCAGTGGTTTTGAAGGCAAAGAAACAGCGCCTGCGTACTTGCATACAAAGACTCTTTTATCTTCTAAAGATGAGCCAAAGGTTGAGGTAAGAAGGTCAAGCAATGAGGTAGGACAACTGCATGTCATCATTAAAACCACGGTTAAAAAACATTCTTGATAGCTACCTTATTAATTACCTAGCTACCTAAACTAACCCCCACCACCACCACCACCAATTTGTATTCAAGCATGCACCATCCTATTGCCTACCTTTACCCACCCCCGTCCTACCATTACCCAGTTTCCCAAAGACTGAGATAACCACCCCGTTTCCCTTTACTTTCTGTCGAGGGTTATCTTTTATTTCATTGCTTCTTACAGCAGTGCCGTAATAACATGTCAATTCAAGAAACGCACGAGGGAAAAGGTTTGGGAGAAGATGTTTTGACTCCAAAAGATATCACATCGTTCTCCTATCAAATAGCAGCAGGAATGGTAAGGTAGCTCTTGTACGTGATGACATCATGTAAACACATATTTAAGAATGAAAATGATCATCTGTGTGTGTGTACAGTAAAGATAGGGCTAATGGAATCTTAATATAGGAAATGTTCTTTTACTGACCAGCAAATAAGTAGCAACGTAGAAAAGCAAAGTAGCATCAGAGCTTTCGACCTTCATTCGAAGGYCTTTGTCAATGTGTGGAAATCTGGTGCCCAGGTCCCAACTTGACGGGACATCAGTATGGCCTCGTAGACTGGGGCCAAGTAGTATCCTTGACCTCTGCGGAATCTTGATAGTCGTTAGTAGAGAAAAAGAAAGTAATTTTAATAAACAAACGATAAATAAAATAAGCTTTTTCAACGTTGTCTATATATCGTTCAAGAACAAAAGTAAAGTGTGGAAATCCTTGGGTTTTTGAAGAGGATGACACTGCGAAATCTCGAAAATCTTTTCGTCAACGTTACCATCGTGTTTAGGGTAAAAACAACTGAGCTCATAGAAGAAGAGAAAAGTTGAAATAATCAGCCACAAAGGATGTACATGTATAGAATTCTTAAATTTATAGTTTTGAAATATCAATCAACAATCGACTATGACGTTGTTTACATTTCAGGRATATCTATCAAGCAAAGGATTCGTTCATCGTGATCTTGCCRCTCGTAATATTCTAGTGRCTGACAACAAAGAAGTCAAASTGYCAGATTTTGGACTGACACGTGACCTTTACGAGGAGAGCGCCTACAATGCTCGAGTWCAGCGRAAACTACCAATCAAATGGATGTCACCAGAAGCGCTGTACGACCAAGTCTTCACTACTGAGAGTGACGTGTACGTTGTCTAGGAAAACGATTCCTTTTTAGTTACTGTATTCATAATGTTAATCTCTTTACTGACTGAGTGGATTGAGGAGAAAGAGTGGAACCAATTATAAATAATAATGGCAGAAAAAATGATAGAAAAAATATTAAAGAAGAACCCTTTTATGCCTCTTCCTTGCCAAAGTTCTTGCCCCAATGCATTGATAAATTGTTCTAGTCCCATCCAACACATTTGAATTCTAGAGTATCAAACTCAATGTCAGCAAATATCCTTTTTTCCTAGTGACCTAAATCCCAGTCCCAATTTTATCAACGCAAAAATAAAGTCTACCCATAGTTTGATTTTACCCCTTCCTTTAGGACCTTTTCCCCATGATCAAATGCTTGATGAGAATTGAGGGGGAGGGGAAAAGGATTGCTGTAGACAGATTTTAGAGATGTTCTAGACTTAGTCATAGATCTTCTTCAACCAACAGATGGTCGTACGGCGTGGTATTATGGGAGATGTTTACATTGGGTAAGTGCGCATGCTATGATGGAATATTGGCTTATCTCTTGTAAATCWGATTAATTTTAGGTTTAATTTATTTTGAATGCGGACATTTCCAAGATTTTCCTATTATTTGAATTTGTCGCTCTTTCTGTTTGTCTGTCTGTCTGTCTATCTGCATGCTTGTCCGTCCGTCTTTTCTAGTTATTGCTCGGTCGTTGTCATTCTATCCTTAGCTTCTGTCTGTCGACTGCCTGTTAAGTTGTCCACAGGGTAAGATTTTTCTTCCTCTTTGTCTTTTGCCTATCTGTCTGTTTGCTTTCCTTTCCTGCCTGCCTGCCTGCCTGCCTGCCTGCTTGCCCTATACTGATTCATGTGTCTTCTCATGCATAAAACAAAGAAAAAACATTGTGCCCAAGCTAAAGAGGTCTATTCTAATATCATTATTGTATTGTAGGAGGTGCTCCGTACCCTTCCTTGTCTACACGTGAGCTGTATCGGGAATTACGCCGTGGCTACAGAATGGAAAAGCCTGTCATGTGTTCTGAGGAAGTGTGAGTGACATCGCTTTACAATGCATATATCTTTGGTTGCCAAGCAACTAATAGAAATTAATTAATTAAAAGAATATTTAGTAACGTTTGCATTCTTCGTTGCCCAAATGAAAATTATTTTCAAATATTTTTATATACACCTACTTGCAAGAACGTTGTCATACGAAAATAGAACAGTGATTTAGTGGGATAGGAATTATATTAAAAAACAAAAGAAGATCACTGAAGCTGAACTTTTTCTTTTGTCTTTTAATGTATTCCTTTCTCACTAAATTACTAATGTTCTATTCTTGTATGTCAACGTTCTTGCAAGTAGGTGTATGTAAGGGATCCAGAATGCAACACAACAGCTGAGTTGGTTGGTAATTAATGCCGAAGAGTAAGAATGTATTCAATAGGCGGAGCTCTTATCACTTTGAAGACTTTCCCCTACAATTTGAAAAACCTATCCCCAAAACGAAATGTTACTTGCTTGAAATCTATTATAGTTTTTAATCCCTTTTTACAGGTTTCTTTGCAAAGTTAACTGGCATTGCACGCGCGGTTTGTGGCAGCAACCGCCGCGCTCCGCCCTTATTACAGCACAGTTCTTGATCAATCAGGGCGCGCGTTATATATAATTATAAATTTGCCAAATTTTGAGAGTTAATGCTTCTAGTTCTTCTCGGTTTTTCAGCTATAAGGTAAYGTCAAAATGTTGGAAAGAAAACCCAAGCGAGCGTCCAAAGTTTACAGAACTTCGTCAACGATTTGAAGAGCTTCTACAGGAAGATAGTCCATACCTGGACTTCAGTAATCTGGACAATAACRAAGACTATTATCTGGTACCTTCTTTTAACAGCGCTGGTGACGATGAAGACGGCTCGGCATGTTCATTGCATCTGTAATACACGAACTCGAATAATAGCATATTGTTAACGGCGACCGTGGAACGTCAGTTGACAGCAAAAAAATTTCAGAATTAGTGAAAAAGTAAGTTACCAAAACGACGATGCGGTTCATATTAAGACTATRAGAAATATATATAAGACTCTGTGACAAAGTAAATATATGTACATATTCAAACATTCACGCTTGATGTGTCATTAAATGTTGTTGAAAATGTTGACAGGATGTCATCGAAACGTTCAGCAATCCTTGCGTTTATTTTCTTAATCAAATGTTTATCAAGATCCATACTAATAAAATATTAATTACAATAATAATAATAAATAATAAAAATAGAAATAATAAAATAATAATGAATAATAATATAAAATAACAGCTTGTCTCTAAGTGTGAAGTTTCATTTTAGCTCGGAATTCAATAAAAAATCAAGTCACAAAAACTTTAATCAGGGAGATTTAATTAATAAACTGACATTTCAGTTAGTCAACTTATCACCTTCAAAGAAAGTCAGTTTTTAATATAGTTCTATAGGAGCCTCAAAGCATGTTTTATTTCCTGGCGAACAAATACGGGCCGGTCAGTATTATCTTGAAGACCTTTAGAGAGGAGTTTCCTCACTGACGACTTCTTTGCTTTGCATATAGCTATGTTGTCGTGTTTTTCCATACGTTTGTCACTAAGATTTCTGTTGTTATTTTTGATCCTGATTATAATCTCCAAAGCTCAGAATCAAAATGAAACCAAGAACAGTACAAGGTATAAAGAACAGACGTCAGATTTGGAAGGTAGGTTTTGAAGAATGAATGCATGAATGGATGTTTTTTTAACTTTCCTCTTTTTTTCCTGCGTCGCTTCTTAACCACAAGCAATAACACAAGAAATAATTCGACATTGTCTGCCTACTAGGCATTCCATTCCATTTCTATTCCAATTAAACAATGATTTGATAAAATAATTGATTAAATAAAAAGTGAAAAGGAAGAAAATTGCAGTGAAATAACAATCGAATAAATGCCGGCTGCAATCCACACAGTGTAGCACACTAAATGGGAAAATTCAAGCAAATCTTTCTTTTGTGTGGACTTTATTCGTTTTTCGCAAAAAAAGTCCCAAAAATTGGAAGATATTTAGGATTTAAAGACTGCTGTTTTGCAAAGTTTTTTGCTATGGAAACGTTGATTAGCATAGAAAGTACATCGTTCRAACTTTTTACCCAAGCCTGACATCTGGTACAGAAATTAAATTCATTGAGCTAAAGTAAGATTATCATTTATAAGCGGATTCAAAAAGTGAAGTGTGAACCAAAACAAAAAACATTCTCGTACTCAGAGCACCTCGGTTGTAACAAAACCGAGGAATTTTGGGAAAAAAAAAAAAAAAAAAAAAAAAAAAAAAAAAAAAACTACTTAGAGCCAGCTTGAATTTAACCTTTATTCAGATATGAGCTTAGATGCGTATTCATTTCAATCTTTCTGAGTCTGAGCATACCTTTTTTATCTCCAGATTTCAAGCGTTTTATTCTTGGCCCCGAGTACTCCAGTGACCTAGCAAGGCCAATCACAGTGTTTTTCATGGTCCTCGTTGCCATGGTATCGATCATTAGTAACTCACTTATCATCCACGTGATCAGAATAAACCAGCACATGCGCACTATGACTAACTACTTCATCCTCAACATGGCGTTGGGAGATTTAGTATCTACAGCAAGCACCGCTCCACTAACCATCAAATACCTTTTCAATGGAACGGAATGGACTTCAGGAACGTTCGGAATGATAACTTGTAAGGTGGTCCATTTTTTCACCTATGTCGCATTTTTCTGCTCGATTTTCAGTTTGGTAGCGATGACGTTCGACCGATTCATGGCGGTTATCTGTCCCCTTAAATACAAGTACTTTTCATTGTGGACAAAATTCCTTTTCCCAGTTGTGTGGATAACTTCTTTGGCCTTGCCTGCTCAGTTTGCTATCGTTAAATTTGACATCGAAAATTATTTTAACAAAACCTACTGCCTTGTTTCCTCAGAAATGTTAGATGATTCCATTATCATGATATCCATTGGAAATGTCCTCCCCAATGTTGCCGTGATTTCTCTTTATTCTATTATTGCCTATAAACTCTGGACAAGGCGAGTACCTGGTGACGAAAGCGGTGCGGCTCAAAGACAAGACGAAGCACAACAAACTGCCAAGAAGGTCACCCGTATGATAATTTGCGTCGTAATCGTTTTTGATTTATGTTGGTTTGTGGCATTTTCATTTCCCTTGTTGTCCTATTCCTTTCCTTCCTTGATAAAGTATCGCGATGACCGTGTAATTCCTCCAATATCTACTATAAGCGCTAACTTGAACGGCCCTTTAAATGCATTGATATACGCTATATTCAATGAAAGTTTTCGTCGCGGTTTCAAGGATTGCTTTTTAAAGTGCACACGTTTGAGCTCGTTATGTGTTCGTTGTTCAGGTAGACTAAGAAACCACGAAACTGATGCTAACTTTGAACAAGTGGGATCGGGTAACCATGACAATGTCGTTAGCCTAGAACACGTGGTATCGGGTAACCATGACAATGACATTAACCTAGAACACGTGGTACTAGGTAACCATGACAATGATGTTAGCCTAGAACACGTGGTGCCGGGTAACCATGAAAATGACGTTAGCCTAGAATAAGTGGGTAACAATGGCAATGGCAGTATTCAAGAGGGGGTACCATGACAATGATGATGTTAGAATTCAATAGGTATCTGGTTACCTTAAAAAACATACCTTATAATCATTGTAGCGGAAACATTGTAAACCCAGACGAAGTTAAACTTYAATACCAAACATCTACCTATGAATTCCATGAACGTATGAACATACGATAGTCAACTTATAGAGCCGGAAATGCTAGCTTTCCAAACTAGTATCCGGTAACTATGGTAACAAAAGAATATTTCACAGGTCTCAGTACTCTAAAACCATAAGATCTCTCGCCTTCATGATCTACGAGTCAATAGCCCATTTGTCGGCCTCATGGGCTATTGACTCGTAGACCATGAGGGCTGTGGTTCTTATTGTTATTCAACTTAACAAATTTTCTATTATGGCGAGCGAAGCGAGCAGCGACACTAATCTTCACTCTTGATTTGCGTTTGTCATTCCCTCACTAACGATGATTTTCGACGGGAGCATGCAGTTATGATACTTATGTTTATCGAGGAATACCTACATTCAGACCATTCAAGCCGCCGGCCTGTTGCCTGGCTTATTGTTTTTCAGTGCTTTTGGACRGGGGCTTATTTTGGTAATCTTTATTTATACACAAAAGTAGTAGAAGTAGAAGTGGGGGAGGGGGTTAGGAGCTTCATACAGGCTCGGGGACTAAATTTCTCCAATCTTTAGAAATTCATATTCATTTTTTCAAAGTTCCATCATAATTCTATGTTTAGGTCATCACATATATTTGCATCACAATCATTGAAAGTCACGTACACAGATTCACAAGTGAGAGAAATATATTTACGTCATACATTGCGGTATAAAATAGGACAAGTGAGGCTTCTCATGCAGTTGAATAATTACATTTTAGATATATCGATTTAAAAGTGCGTATTTTCACCTGCGATCATAAATGACATCTAATTAAGTAAAGTAATAAGTTTGTCTGCAAAAGTGTTTCATATAGTCCTAGTACAACTTGGCAGTTAAAACTTCTGACATTGTTTAACACCTAAGGATATTAAGTTTCTCTGTATTGGCAAACTCGTCAAATCCTTCTTGGCAAAATCATGGCAGTTGTCTTCAAGATGGTGTTACCTTTTGTTTAATTCGTCTTTTARATAAAGCCAGTCTACCAGGTCATCCATGGTCTTTCTTCCCTTATCGCTGCTAATTACGACTATGTCATAAGGCCGGCTAGCTTTTCCTCTGTGTAGATCCTTGACTTTTTCAAGTGTTTTCCCCTTCATTTGTTATTTAAAGAAGGTTTAGCAAATGAGTTCCTATTTTCAGAATGTTTTTCCCTAATGTTTTCCCTTAATAATAATTTTCCCTTCTCAATTGTGAAAAGTTTTATCAATATTCTATGTTCAGTTTYGTTTTTAAGAAGAACATCACACATGCATTACAATGATTGAAAGTCAAGTGCACAGGTGAGAGAAATATTCTTACATCATACATTGCGGTATAAAATAGGACGAATAAGGCTTCTTGAAGAATTACACTTTTATTAGTTATATCGTTTTAAAAGTGCTTATTTTCACAGTCATAATTGACATCTAATAAAGCAAAGTAGTAAGTGAAAGCATCGTTTTCCCAGTTAAAATAATTCAGTTTGTCTGCAAGAGTGTTCCTTATAGTCCTCAATAGTACAACTGAAGTGCTAGGTATGACTTCTGATGTGGATCAGCCAAGGATATAATGAGTCTCTGTTTTGGCAAACTCGTCAAATACCCTCTTGGCAAAATCATGGCAGTTGTTTCCAAGATGGTGGTACTTTTTGTTTAATTCGTCTTTTACAAAAAGCCAGTCTACCAGTTCATCCATGGTCTTTCTTCCCTTATCGCTGCTAATTACAACTATGTCATAAGGCCTAGCTTTTCCTCTGTATAGATCCTTGACTTTTTTAAGTGCTTTCCCCCTCTGAATTGTGATTCCCTCGTCATTCTTCTCAATACACCACCACCAACATCTCGTTTCAAACRCGACAAACTGGTGACAAAGGGGAGCAACTGGTCCTCTTGGTTGCCAATGCCAAATAGGACACTTATAGACCCAGATTCTTTCAATCGATTCTTCTTTTTCAATTGCATCCTTCAGTCTCGACCTTAAATCACCATCAGCAAAAGTTTTGAAAGCGACATTTTCATCAGCGTTGGGATGAAAATATACTTTCTTTGTCCAATTTTCTCCATCCTTACCAGAMGTTGACGAACTTTTCGAACTTCCCGAACCCATGGTTTCTTTTCTATTACTGTAAGAAGAAAAAAAGCAGTTACAACAAGGCTGTATTGCTCTTGCAATGATGCAATGATATTTCGGCTATCCCGTGCTTTTCGTGCGTTAATTTTTGTTTTAGGAGTGTGCTTTATTAGTTTGGTTGGGAAACTTACGTGTGAGTCAATATTGTGTGTTGTGGGGTGAGGAATTCTTATTCTAGTATCCCAGAATGCATTGTGAGATAACTGATATGGTTAGTTTGAATTTATTTATTTAATTAATAAATAAAATGATACCTTTTTATGCTTGTCATGTTTATTTATAGTATTATTCTTTAGTTTAGGAGTCTATTATTTATTATTTTCCTTGATTCATCCCACATCGAACAGTGAGATTCCTTGTCCTTATGTAAATAGCTGATTCAATCAGGATTCCTACGCTTCGCTTATATAATCCACAAATTCGAAACAATCTTTTTATTTCCGCACTGTATCTAATTACCTTTCTCACAGGATTTTTTTGTTTCGGCTCTCAGACCGAAACGGCACTGAATTCAGTTTGCTAACCCATACTTTTCGTGACTGGTGTCTTTGGTTGTCATTATATCGTCAAACACCTAATGAAATACGGCACTGCCAGGATATAACGTGTAGTTGAAAACGATGACTACGAGGTAGCGGGATATGTTTTTGTGCCTACATTCCTTAGTGGGGGCGGCTTGTTAAGCCTACTTTCGTAACAATTATGAAGGATATATTACATCAACACAAAYAGGAGAAAGGCTTCTCTAGAGAGAATCAACCTTGTTTTAATGTGAATATATTCACGGAAGCTCCGCTAAAAACAATATCTTGAACCTTTAGAGCCGAATTTAAATTTGGCAAATCGAATGCCATGAACAAATTATTGGAAAACGTGCTGTAATGTGACGCATGTTCCCTGAACTTTGTTAAATTCTTAGAAACGTATAGTATAAGCCTTTGCAGCACAAATTCCACGTATGTATGAGCACCTTAAAGTACTTTACTATCGGAAAAAATTGCCCATACATTTGGATTATTCGCTCTTTTCGGTCCCAGCCCCTCTCTTTGCTCTCTTTCCAAAGCAAAAGGTTGTGCTTAAAAGGTGGCTGGAYCCCCTCACGCTTGACCGCTACCTTCCACTTTTGGAACGCTGGTGCATAAACGTGTTTTATCTGATTGCAAATCTTTTTTGCACATAAGTCACATAAAGATTGAATTAATGTTTGATACAATTTTWAATGAGATCGGAGGTCATAACACGTGATTATGATGAAATATTTGTTTTCGTTTAGAAAATAATTCTAGCCTTGCAGAGCGTTCAACACTAAAATGCTTCGTACCACATAATCATATACTAGATGCCTCCATTTGTAGGGATTTTTGAAAAAATCTATCTAGCTAATTATGAGATATTTGAGACTATTTAAATATAGTGCATAATCTACTTCAAAACTAAACAATGGATTTCATACGGCCGAAATTAATATTTCAGAGCTATATATTCACAAAAGTCATTGCTCATTTAGTTTTACTCTGTATCTAGTTTTAAAAGGAACATTTTGAAGATAATCGACTTATGCGATTTCGTGAAAACGTATAGTGCAGAAGACGGGGTGAACATTTGATGCGCACTTTTCATCGCAGTTTTCTAGTCAATCTTACTAGATCTTCCATTATTCTTAAATTCGCTGATCATTTCTCTCAAAACTACGTCAGGATACAAATTAGAACTTAAACTAATATTATACAAAATTGCAAGACTATTGAACTCCTTTAAAGCGATCTAAAGCGAACGAGAAATACAGAAAACATTGATCGTTTCCCAACGATTTGATGCTCTGGGAATTCTATTGTTTGCTAATGACCATAACATCAAATTCTTTCGCACCATGCACGCGGTCTGATGTCGCTTGGCCGCTTTCCGATTTACTCCCGAAGTATGGTTCTTTATTTAAACTCAAAAGTCTTGCTCGCTTCTTTCTTGAAGTTTTTATTTGAGGCATGTTCGCCGATTCTATTCACTCACACTGACGGCAAAGTACATCATGACAAACRTCCCACGTTTGAATAAAAAAAACTGTTTATTACCAAACTTCGGGAGTAAATCGGAAAGCAGCCAAGCGAGATGAGACCGCGTGCATGGTGCGAAAGAATTTGAAGATTTGATTCTTATCATTCTACGAAGAAAAAAACTGTAGAAATTTAAAGATATTTGACCACGTAGTTTTCGAGTTTTTATAAATTCTTCGAGTTCTGATACTGCGCATGCTCGTGCCCAACCTGGCGCGCGTATAGCCAACGGATAGTATGAGCTTATATAATCAGCAAAAATACGGTTCTAAATTTTAACAAATTCCTATGAATTTTATACCAAAATGTTCAGAAAAAGCGCGGGTTTTTCAAATCCACTTCTGTTTTTTTGATAGGTTCCATTTTATTTCAAGGAGAGACGATTTTCTAGCTTGACATTGGTTATGTCACGCATTTTCTCAGTATATCTCCGTCCTGAATATGTGTATGTCCTTAATCTATCTATCTATATATATATATATATGTATCATGAACTTCTGTATGTATATATTTCTATACATATATGTATACACTTATTTCAATAAAGTTAGTCACCTGAAAAGCTATAAAGCTGAGGCCGACAAGGATTATGGGTAGATTCATTTCACACGTTCAACCGCTTGATAACTGTTCATGGACTTGYGAATCTTTTACCGKTTACAGTCTCACCTCTTCTGAGCATCATCGAGCTGCAGTTTGTATTAAAAAACTTTGTATATATATATGCTTTTTTGATATGAAAAGTTTCCCATGATGCTCAGTGATCTCAGCTTTCTAGGTTTTTGGTGACTAACTTTATTGAAAAAAGGGTATATACATATTGCACATAGATTACATAGAACACATAGATTACATAGAACACATAGATTACATAGAACACATAGATTACATAGAACACATAGATTGCATAGAACAAAGATTGCATAGAACACATAGCTATAGGTCGCCTATGCGGTCTCAAGAGTACTGGTCGTTGTTTAAATATTTGTACGYCTGTTTTAAAATGCTTTCTAGCATTTCCTGACAGCTTTTTTTCATAGGTTTTGATATCTCTTGCCCTGCACTCACCCACCATAACCTTCTTTTGGAGCGTAGCAATTTCTGAAGTGCTTTGGGTCGCTTCTTAATTCCAAGTGATTGAAAATGTGAAATGAAATCACTTTCATTTGCAGCTTCAAAAGCTTGTGCCAAGCTGAATCTCAGAGCATTGAATAGACAATTGCCATCCTTTTCCATTTCCACAATTTTTAAACCATGAGCTTTGACTGTGGATGCTAGAATATTTGTTGGTTCACTTCTCATAAAAAAGGCCATAGTTGATTGCTGACTTCAATACATTTGCACTTAATGCCTTTCTAATGAGTATATATTGTATAAGATATCATTGAACTCGCATGTCGTAAGGTGTTTGGTAATGATTTCAAGAAACAAAGTTTCTCTGTGGATATGTCCAATATTTCACACACTACATCATTAGATTACATACTATCAGAATATTCATTACAACGATTTTTTGGTTTTTCACTGACACCAATTCCAAAGGCTTCTGCTCAGGCTTGTTTCCTCCATAGAACCACCAGTAGAAATAGCTGTTTTTGCCAGATATGCAAATTTCTTTGCAACAGGAATAACAATTGAAATTCCATGTAATTTGTTTTTTCTTTTAGAATTCCACAAATAAAAAACTAAAGTGAGAAAAGCAAATGCAAGTTGAGGTCCCATTTTCGCCCCAGCAAAGAGATCCTTCAACTTTTCATTTAAAGTTACATTCAAACTTGTACTGAACCCTGGAGGGATGTTTACAATGCACCCTTTTTCAATGTGCTCTTTTCAAATTATTTACTTTATTTTCTAATTAACTTCTGAATAGAGATTCAGTGCCAGAACATGTGTTGCTAATATGTTGCCATTTTTCTACAAAACGTGCAATAAAGTCTATGTAATCTACATGGTCTATGTAATCTATGTGTTCTATGTAATCTATGTGTTCTATGTAATCTATGTGTTCTATGTAATCTATGTGTTCTATGTAATCTATGTGTTCTATGTGATGTATGCGTTCTATGTAATCTATGTGTTCTATGTTGTAATCTTTGTGCAATATGTATATATACATATATGTATAGGAATATATACATATATAGATTAAGGACATGCACATATTCAGGACAGAGATATACTGAGAAATAGCCCATTTTCTCTTGTAAAAATACATCCAATAGCGTACATTCAACTCAAAAAGTACCTTTCACTACAAATCCTTCGAAAAGTAAACAAATTATGTGGAAGCCCGCGATTTTGTTGGCTAGCGTTCGCAAAATACCCCCTGCTGGCGTTTGGCTGACCGAGAAGCGACAGTTTCMGTCTGACACTTCAAACGCGCTAATTAGCGAAGGTTTCAAAATCAATACAAATTCGGCGCGCGGTGCGCTCAAGTGGAAATCGCTGTAAATATAAACAAACTTATTGAAGAACGCGTGAGGTTCAGTGGTCATTTCGTACACTAAACTAGCGAAAACTCACCAAGTTCTTCAATCAAACGAGCTACCTACGAAAGGCAATCTCGCGTCCGAAATAAATGACGTCATTCATAGCAACGACTGGACGCATGCGCTGTATTTGTAGTATTTGACTTTCTATCTGGGTACCACACGGATTTGATTACTAAACTAACTGATGTAGGCCTCACTGAAGGACTAAATATTGTAAGAAAGTGTCAGAAATGGGTTATTTCACAGAACTGTGAGATTGTGAAACGTCGGTACAATCGTTAAATTTGTATACATCTTTATAAAATCAGTCATGCAGATAATTGCTTAGACTATTCATGCYCGCAATATTCTRTATTCATGTAGCAAAAATGTCTGAAGTTAAAATAAATATATGATAATCTACTTAACATTGCGCAGTCTAACATGGTAATATATGATCGAGTACGCATTACAAAATATAATATCAATATCTATTTACAATATAATAAAATTTCCTTACTATTAAAATAGAAATTAAATATATATAGATATATATATCACTAAGTGAAAAAATAAAAGTGATTAAATAGGTATAAAATTTATAAAATGTAAACGATACTTAGTTCTAATCATAAAACGCTAGTTCAGAAAAATAAGTTTTAAGCATACTTTTAAAATTACTATAAGATTTAGTTAGCCTTATTTCAAGAGGCAGTCCATTACATACCCTTGGGGCTACATTGACAAAAGCCCTGTCACCTAAAGTCTTCTTTGCTTTTCTACCATATATTATCTATTAGGAACATGCCCTTATTTGATCGTAATTTATATCTTGCGGGTTCCCTTATACTTATTAAATCTTTAAGATACTGTGGAGCAGTACCATATAAACATTTATACACAATCATAGCAATCTTAAATTCAATGCGAAATTTACTGGGAGCCAATGAAGCCTTATAAGTGCTGGAGTAATGTGGTCATATTTCTATACATTGTAAACAAGGCGAGCTGCTGCATTCTGCAGGCGCTGTAGCTTAGTTAAATGAACAGAAAGGACGCCATGCAATAGGCTATTACAGTAGTCTACGCGCGATATTATGGTCGCTTGAACAATCGCCTTCCTATTTTCATATGATAAGTACTTTCTAATTCTCCTAATGTTATGTAGATGGTAGTATACTGAATGACCAAGTCTATTTATGTGGGTGGTCATACTAATATTTGAATCAAACCAGGCCCCCAGATTCCTAGCTGAGTCTACAGCAGATACTTTTGTGGAGCCTATCTGTATTTCTGATTAAAAACTCTGTCTTGGCATCGTTTAATTGTAAT